AAGTAATGTTACAACTTGATCGCACGGCTAAACTCCAAGGGGATGTAAGTTTTTTTCCTTCCTCAGAGACCTATTTTCGATATAAACACAAAAACAAATAACTTGGGAACAAAACTTATAATAGAAAAAATGGTATTTGCGCTAGTAGGTGAACATGTGTCCAGCCCTCAAGCAAAGTTACAACTTGATCACAACGCTAAACTCCAAGGGGATGTAAAATTATTTTCCTTCATCAGAGACCTATTTAGATATAAACACAAAAATACAATTAACTTGGGAACAAAACTCATAATAGAAAAAATGGTATTTGCGCTAGTAGGTGAACATGTCCCTAGCCCTCAAGCAAAGTTACAAGTTGATCGCACGGCTAAACTCCAAGGGGATTTAAATTTATTTTCCTGCCTCAGAGACCTCTTTTTGATATAAACACAAAAATACAAATAACTTGGGAACAAAACTTATAATAGATAAAATGGTATTTGCGCTAGTAGGTGAACATGTCCCCAGCCCTCAAGCAAAGTTACAACTTGAGCGCACGGCTAAACTCCAAGGGGATGTAAATTTGTTTTACTTCCTCAGAGACCTATTTTCGATATAAACACAAAAACAAATAACTTGGGAACAAAACTTATAATAGAAAAAACGGTATTTGCGCTAGTAGGCGAACATGTACCCAGCCCTCAAGCAAAATTACAAATTGATCGTACCGCTAAACTCCAAGGGGATGTAAATTTATTTTCCTTCCTCAGAGACCTATTTTCGATATAAACACAAAAATACAAATAACTTGGGAACGAAACTTATAATAGAAAAAATAGTATTTGCGCTAGTAGGGGAACATGTCCCCAGTCCTCAAGCAATGTTACAAATTAATCGCACCGCTAAACTCTAAGGGGATGTAATTTTATTTTCCTTCCTCAGAGACCTATTTTCGATATAAACACAAAAATACAAATAACTTGGGAACAAAACTTATAATGGAAAAAATGGTATTTGCGCTAGTAGGGGAACATGTCCCCAGTCCTGAAGCAATGTTACAAATTGATCGCACCGCTAAACTCCAAGGGGATGTAATTTTGTTTTCCGTCCTCAGAGACCTATTTTCGATATAAACACAAAAATACAAATAACTTGAGAACAAAACTTATAATAGAAAAAAAGGTATTTGCGCTAGTAGGTGAACATGTCCCCAGCCCTCCAGCAAAGTTACAACTTGATCACACCGCTAAACTCCAAGGGGATGTAAATTTATTTTCCTACCTCAGAGACCTATTTTAGTTATAAACACAAAAATACAAATAACTTGGGAACAAAACTTATAATAGAAAAAATGGTATTTGCGCTAGTAGGTGAACATGTCCCCAGCCCTCAAGCAATGTTACAACTTGATCGCACGGCTAAACTCCAAGGGGATGTAAATTTTTTTTCCTTCCTCAGAGACCTATTTTCGATATAAACACAAAAACAAATAACATGGGAACAAAACTTATAATAGAAAGAATGGTATTTGCGCTAGTAGGTGAACATGTGTCCAGCCCTCAAGCAAAGTTACAACTTGATCACAACGCTAAACTCCAAGGGGATGTAAATTTATTTTCCTTCATCAGAGACCTATTTAGATATAAACACAAAAATACAATTAACTTGGGAACAAAACTCATAATAGAAAAAATGGTATTTGCGCTAGTAGGTGAACATGTCCCTAGCCCTCAAGCAAAATTACAAGTTGATCGCACCGCTAAACTCCAAGGGGATAAAAATTTATTTTCCTGCCTCAGAGACCTCTTTTTGATATAAACACAAAAATACAAATAACTTGGGAACAAAACTTATAATAGATAAAATGGTATTTGCGCTAGTAGGTGAACATGTCCCCAGCCCTCAAGCAAAGTTACAACTTGATCGCACGGCTAAACTCCAAGGGGATGTAAATTTGTTTTACTTCCTCAGAGACCTATTTTCGATATAAACACAAAAACAAATAACTTGGGAACAAAACTTATAATAGAAAAAATGGTATTTGCGCTAGTAGGTGAACATGTGTCCAGCCCTCAAGCAAAGTTACAACTTGATCACAACGCTAAACTCCAAGGGGATGTAAATTTATTTTCCTTCATCAGAGACCTATTTTAGTTATAAACACAAAAATACAAATAACTTGGGAACAAAACTTATAATAGAAAAAATGGTATTTGCGCTAGTAGGTGAACATGTCCCCAGCCCTCAAGCAATGTTACAACTTGATCGCACGGCTAAACTCCAAGGGGATGTAAATTTTTTTTCCTTCCTCAGAGACCTATTTTCGATATAAACACAAAAACAAATAACTTGGGAACAAAACTTATAATAGAAAAAATGGTATTTGCGCTAGTAGGTGAACATGTGTCCAGCCCTCAAGCAAAGTTACAACTTGATCACAACGCTAAACTCCAAGGGGATGTAAATTTATTTTCCTTCATCAGAGACCTATTTAGATATAAACACAAAAATACAATTAACTTGGGAACAAAACTCATAATAGAAAAAATGGTATTTGCGCTAGTAGGTGAACATGTCCCTAGCCCTCAAGCAAAATTACAAGTTGATCGCACCGCTAAACTCCAAGGGGATAGAAATTTATTTTCCTGCCTCAGAGACCTCTTTTTGATATAAACACAAAAATACAAATAACTAGGGAACAAAACTTATAATAGATAAAATGGTATTTGCGCTAGTAGGTGAACATGTCCCCAGCCCTCAAGTAAAGTTACAACTTGATCGCACGGCTAAACTCCAAGGGGATGTAAATTTGTTTTACTTCCTCAGAGACCTATTTTCGATATAAACACAAAAACAAATAACTTGGGAACAAAACTTATAATAGAAAAAAATGGTATTTGCGCTAGTAGGCGAACATGTACCCAGCCCTCAAGCAAAGTTACAAATTGATCGTACCGCTGAACTCCAAGGGGATGTAAATTTATTTTCCTTCCTTAGAGACCTATTTTCGATATAAACACAAAATACAAATAACTTGGGAACAAAACTTATAATAGAAAACATGGTATTTGCGCTAGTAGGTGAACATGTCCCCAGCCCTCAAGCAAAGTTACAAATTGATCGCACCGCTAAACTCCAAGGGATGTAAATTTATTTTCCTTCCTCAGAGACCTATTTTCGATATAAACACAAAAATACAAATAACTTGGGAACAAAACTTATAATAGAAAAAATGGTATTTGTGCTAGTAGGTGAACATGTCCCCAGCCCTCAAGCAAAGTTACAACTTGATCGCACCGCTAAACTCCAAGAGGATGTAAATTTATTTTCCTTCCTCAGAGACCTATTTTCGATATAAACACAAAAACAAATAACTTGGAAACAAAACTTATAATAGAAAAAACGGTATTTGCGCTAGTTGGTGAACATGTCACCCACCCTCAAGCAAAGTTACAAATTGATCGCACCGCTAAACTCCAAGGGGATGTAATTTTTTTTCCTTCCTCAGAGACCTATTTTCGATATAAACACAAAAATACAAATAACTTGAGAACAAAACCTATAATAGAAAAAATGGTATTTGCGCTAGTAGGTGAACATGTCCCCAGTCCTCAAGCAAAGTTACAACTTGATCGCCCGGCTAATTTCCAAGGGGATGTAAATTTGTTTTTCTTCCTCAGAGACCTATTTTCGATATAAACACAAAAATACAAATAACTTGGGAACAAAACGTATAATAGAAAAAATGGTATTCGCGCTAGTAGGTGAACATGTCCCCAGCCCTCAATTCAAAGTTTGAAGATAAAAGAGCCTTTGTTGAAGTTAAAGCTAAAAGTTAAAATAAAAAAAGGTGTTATGAAGTCAAGTTTCAATTCAAAGTTTCAAGTCAAAAGCATTGTTTAATTTGGGGGAGGTAAGCGTTTAGCTAAGCGTTTCTATTGGCTAAAGGTTTTTCTCACAAAATCGAAGTCAATATTAACAGAAAATGTATTAAATCAGTGGAAAATAATCAAAAATTTTACAAATTGCGGGTTACAACCGCAATACTATTCAGATAGTCATCAAGAGTATTGAGGTCAAAATCATAAGAATTTTTCAGTCTTGAAAACTCATCTGCTTTTTGACTAATTGGTCAATAATAACACTAATGGCCTGGATTTATTTTCTTAATTTGAGATTTTCGCGATTTAATTTGAGGTTTTGAATACTCAATTCTGAGCGGCTGAAAGTAAGTTAAAACTAATTTCAAGCATTTGGTCCTTCAAGCATGAGGGACGCAACCTTTAGTTTGCAGTTGCAGACATTTTGGCGCCAAAATCGGAGTGCTTTCTTTGCTAATTAGCGTCAGTAATTTGCCGCTCTTGAGAAAATGTTGGAAAATGCTTTTAAGTTATTCTGAAATCCGCTTTTTTGGCACTGTTGAACGCCCCCGAAATTGTTTAACTTTACAAAATTGTTTTACTAAATGTCAACGAATCTATGCAACGTATGAAGCGAGCAAAAAAAGGTAGTTTTTTTTATTCCACTTTCTCCAGTCTTTTTCCAATTTTTTTTAGCGATTGTGTCCCTCCTGATTTCTTATATGATTTTAGACTGAAAATAAATTGGCCAAGCTGAAAGGAAATACATTTGCTTCTGTCATATCATTAGTTAATTTTTCTATTTTCTCTCATTTCTCCTTTTTTGAAACTGTTAATAAAAATCTATACCTAATCTTAATACATAGGGCCCTAGAGAAGACGTTTATTCGTGTATATACTTTTCTGTGGCCTGAAAAATGAGGGAAAATGTCTTTTAAGTAAAAGAAAACGCTTGGTTTCTAACTGATTCCGTAGAAACTTCTAGCCGCTCATAAAAAATTGAACCTCTTTTCCTAATTCAAGAAAAATTATTTGAACCTCGAGTTTTGTCTTTATGAATACATTTTTGAATCTAATTCAGAAAATTTCCAAGTTTATTAACCACAGCCATTTGATCTAGTCTTCGATTTTTGAAAATATTTTTAGCGCCAAATTTTCAAAATGTCAAGTGAATTATCGTTCAAATTTTGAGCATAAAACGTCGATGTTCTTAGTGATCAAAAAAATTTTTGTGTATTTTTGGCCAAGTTAGCCTATAGGAGATAACAGGTGTTCAAAAAACAGCCTGTATCCGACTCGGTTTTAAAGTTCCCGCTATTATCAGCGTACCAGCTTCTGGAGCTAAATTTTTCGACATTCTAGGCGACGATGGGGACGAGTTTGAGTTGTCATCCTGCAAAAGGCGACGAAATACGTGTCCCTCTGATTTCAGCCTACGCGTGAAGTCATCGGCAGGTCCGATTGAAGTACAGCTTGAGTCAGAGAGGAACATACCGTCTAACTCTGTACAGGTTTCATGGGTCACATCTTCGAGTTCAAGTAAGCTGACGGTTTAGTTTTCAACTCGGTCTGTGCAAATTGTTCGTACAAACTCTGTAAAATGATAATGTCTATTTTACACCCTGCACTACACACCTGTAAATTTTACCATAAAACTTATTGCCCATTTGGCATGCAATTACTCAATTCCAAACGCATTTGATCTTCATACAAAGCCTTGTACAATCTACGACGTGCGCGCAAATCCAATTTTTTTCCTGGTGGGAGAAACGGCAACAGAGCCATGAATTCAGAGATAATTTACCATGTTTTTTTTCCGTTTCCACGTGGTATTTTCATCTCGAAGTCTCATTTAGCACAAGATTAATTAAAATCAGTTTTCCTAATAACCAGCAAAAGAACTCCAGATAAAAACCAATTTTTTTTAAAAGCGTTACTTGAAGTGCTCGTTTTTAAACAGTTTTTTCACTCGCAATAAAATTAAGTTGTAAATAAAATTAAAATTAAATTCTAATTTCAGATGTCAAGCAAGAGCCATGCTGCTCAAGTACAAAGTATCCTAACAGCCAGCAGGAGCCAGTGAGTAGCAGCAGTGTTTGCGGTGACCAGATTGAAGCAGATAGTTCTGACTACAAGTATGGAGGCTCCTTCTCAGAATCTCGATCTTCCAGGAATGCTTGGGGCAATGAGAGCTACGCCGACATCATCACAAATGCAATCAAGGTCGGATGCTTGTATTGTTTTTTAATTAATAAGTAGAATGATTAAATGTCTATCAAATGTTTTCATAGAATTTTGGCGTCAAAAGTTACTGCGAACCTTTTCTTTTTTCTTGCATTCGAAAAATGATATTTAAAACAAAAATTGGAATATTTGTCTAAAGTCAAGCTCCAAGTTTGTAGGTCATTTGAAACGGTAAAGTTAGATCTTGGGAAGTTCTAATATTTGACATTTTTGTAGAAAGTGAATTTTTAGCTGCGCTTTTGCTTCCTCTGCGCTTTGCAATTAAGTAAAAATTCCTTCATCAAAAATGTTGCCATTAACTTATATTAAAGAGGGATCTTTCGGGGCTCTTTTCCAGTCCCCCCTCTTTGATTTGTTTTCTGAAACTCAACATATGAAAGTCTATTTAAAATCACTTTTCATGTAATGATTGCTTCAAAACGTGTCAGCGTGAACAGGTGAACAAATTTTTACAACATTTTTTAAATGCAAAATGCCGTTTGAACAATTTTTTCGAACAGCTTTATTTTGTAATTTTAACAATTTTCAGATTTAATACATGCTTGGGAAGGGTTTTCTACGTTGGGTCATTAAGGGGGTGAAATTGTACGGTTGATCCCAATTTGATAACGACCGCCAAATTCGCATTCCGAATACTTAAAGCTTGCATTATTAACAATAAAATAGAACTTATTTATAATTTCTTTTATCAATGTTTAAAAGCAAACTTGGGTAAACCGATTTGGTTAAAAATATTTTAATTGGTTAATAGTTTAAAAAATCGGTTTCACTTTTTTACGAGGGGTGGGAAACTGGAAAAGAGCCTCTTTCGGTTGGCGAAGGGAGTCTTCCACACATATCAAGCCTCTTCTTGATATACAGCATTCATTAAATTTGATGTTTTTGATTGTTTCAGTCGAAACCGAGTAAAAAGGCGAAACTGGGTGACATCTACCAGTTCTTCGTGGAGAAATTACCCTACTTCAACAAACACAAGGAAAGTAAGGGCTGGAAAAACTCCGTACGTCACAATCTTTCTTTGGGCAAACAGTTCAAACGCAAACAAAGCTCAGATCCAAAAGAAAAGGGGTCATTTTGGGTCGTAGATGAAACTCCAGGTCAAGCTGGAACGCCGCCACGATCAAATTCAATGTCAAGTGCCAGCACAAGAACAGTTGCGACTGCCAAGCGCAAGTCATCGGTTGTTCATCGCGAAGCTCCGTCAGTATCCGGTGCTTCGGTAGATACGAACCGCCCAGCAAGCAGGTGCAAAAGCGAAACATCTGTCAACATTTTTAACACAAATTTGTGCGTAGCTCCTAACTCAAAACTTGGTCAAGTTCGATGTTCAACAGATAACAATGGATCCCTGTTTGATCAGAATTACTATTTCACGCCAACTGAATCCACGAATGACCTTGCAAGTTTCTCAGTAATGAATCACAACCATGATCAAGAGTTTCTCGATAGTCCTAGAGCCAGGGCGTTTACAAGTGACTCCATTTCCCACAGAGCAAATAAGAATAGAATATGGTTAGACCCTCTTGTATCGAGCCACAATTTGCAGCATTCTGCACCAGGTTACCAAATCGCAATCACACCCATCAAGCACCAAGTTAGTAAACTTAACTTAACAACTTAAACAAAAATTAACTTTACTCTAGTGAAACTAAATTTTCACGGCTTAAATTGAGCATAAATAAGTTATTGTACGCCTGCACGCTCAATTTATTAGCCTGAAATCAGAACAAAAATTTCAAACTGGTTTTTCTCGATCTTTAGAGGGAAAGAACTTTCGAATAACGTCTGAAAGGACTTTTATATGATGTATCACACGACCCATTCCGATAATTGTTTGAGGCATCTGATTTTGCTTGGAGTCGACGCGAATAACGACTGAAAGGACTTTTATATGATGTATCACACGATCCATTCCGATAATTGTTTGAGGTATCTGATTTTGCTTGGAAAACAAAAAACCGAAAACACACCCGAATACAAAGTTCCTCCACGTTTTTCAAATGGTCGGATCAATGAGTTTTTAGCGATTGCATGCGTAAGGACAGAGTTTGGAAACTATTATCTCTTGTTGGTTTTGTTCTGATTTAGTTTTCTCTCCGTCGGCTAGTATAAACTGGTGTTTATTATTATAAATTATTCGCAAGCTCGTTTGAAAGTTACGTGCACGCATATAATTATTCGAACTGAGTTTTTTTCAGCTTATGGTGGTTGCATTTTTGTTATATTAGTTTTCGCAAAAGTGGTTTTTCTGATTTGCTTTCAAAATGTTCCTGCAAAATCGTATTTAATTTTCGTTTAATTTTCATCGATATACGGGAGAAACTGACAAAATACTGACTGAAAAAAGGTTTTGATTTTCGTTTATTTATTTAAAAATTTGATGGAAATAGTAAAAATCAATTTTATTTTCGCTTTCCAAACTTCTTTTTTAGTAATGTATAATTTCCACTTCCGTTCATAGTTTAAAACGAACAATTTTCTCTGCAAATATAGTTTCAGGGTGCTTGAATTGCACTTTTTCTGTATAATCTGAAAATGTCATTTCATTTATTTACAAAATTTAAAAAACCAGATTTATTTCTGTTGTTTTTAACGATTGATATTTTCTCGGTTTTTCAACACTTTGCAATCGTTTTAACTTTGCAATTATATTAAGAAACTTCACCTGTGATAGTTTTTTATTATAATATGGAGGTTTAAATTGCCAATTTGAGACAATTAACGTGGGATACATTTCGAGCTATTAATGCGTAAGTGCAGACTTATAATCCGTATTCAAAATCGTTTCAATATGGATTGAGGCATGCTCTTTGGTCTATTTAATATTTTGCTAGAAGCTAAACATATCACTTTGTACTTAACATAGCGGGCGAGGGGTTAATTTTCAACAAAAAACATATAAGGGTTTTGAAATTTTTGAATTTTTTCGTGAAAGTTTCATCAAGTATTTTGTTTTAAATTATTCCATAGAAGTGAAAATGCAAAAAAAAAGACATTCAGTGTGTCGCCCTGATACGAGCAGTCTTGTTTACCATATAGGCATACATCATTATATCTTAAGAGTTGCTAAGCTTCGGTTCGCTTTATTGTACCACCTGAAATTTTTTTCCCATGAGCTCTTAATTGATAGATTTTTTTTACCGCGCTTATTACTTTTTGTAAAGATCTGGTTTGTAAACTTGGGATAGTTGAAGCGCGATTCATTTCTTTCTGTTTTTGCGTGAGCGGCGATTTATTACGGCTCAAAAATCATTCAAAATTCAATTGAGGCTATTTTTTGGTCTGTTACTACTGTTTTTAAGCTTGCTCTTTACATCGCGTATTGGCGGGAGAAGGGTTTTCAAAGCAATCTGACTAATCTTTTATTGTTTTGGGTCAAAATTTAAAGTAAGTTGTGCATGCTAGGAAAAGTGGGTTGTGAAGGAAAATCTATGTTCAAAACTGCTAAGTATGTTCTTCGCAATTTTCTATTTCGAACTAGAGATGTGACCGGATCGAAATTTACCGGATTACCGGATCCGGATTGAATCCGGTAAAAAAAGAACCGGATTCCGGATTTCATTTAATTGTTTGTCAGTAATTTGAGTGCAGCTGTTGAAATCAAGTATTACTGCTACGAGTAGTTTTTGTTTGATGTATATGCGTCATTCGCGCCTCGTTTTCACGCTATTTACCAGAATTTTCCGAACAGCTTGTTTTGATTCATGATAACTTTTTACTTCTTCAATAATTTATACATTGAGTAAAATTTCTGTGTAACAGCTTGAATAAAAACAGTTGCAAACTTATTTTTTAACTGAGAATTCAACAAATTTTAGGCGAATCAAATCCGGTAAAATCCGGTTACTTTTTACCGGATTCCGGATCCGGATTGACATCCCAAAATTGCCGGATTTGCCGGATTCCGGAACCGGAATCCGGTACATCTCTATTTCGAACCGTTGTTGATTTTTTTCCATCATTGATTGTTGACTTGATACATTTCTCAAATACTTTTTGAACATTTAAAGAAAAAAAATGAACGCCAAGAGGTGCTTTTGGTCCCTGTGTTATTGTGTCTCTCAACCATGATAACTTTTTACAGTTAACTTACCCCCCTCCCCTCAAAGCCGTTTACGGGAAGGATATTAACTTGGTTCTGCGTTCGTTGGTTCTGACAATTTTTAGCCGATCAGAATAGAGCATTTTACACGCAGCGCTTAGCGATTAAATTTAATCGAAATTGAACGCTGGGGTGGATGATCTTAACTTGGTTTATTTGGGGGAGGGGGGTATAAACTTGGTCCATTAGTCAAATTTCGCTGTCGCTGGTTATTGTTTCGGATCAATTGAGCAATCTCCCCCCAGTATTGACCAATTGAGCTATCTCCCCCCAAGCAAAAACTAAGACACCACAAAAGGCGCCAACAAACGCAATTAGATGGTTGATGTGCTTATGGCACGCAATCAATTGATCGACGGGAGTTAATTTTATATGAGTATCGAGAAAAATTTTGAAAAAGAAAAAATCGAAAAATTGAAGAAAAAAAATTAATTTGCAAAATTTTGTTTGGGCGACTCTTGCCTCTCATTGAGGAAAACGAGTATCAGGCTTGGTGCACTGAACTTGTATCTGAATACCAAAAAAGCTCTCTTAAGCACCTTACTATTGTACGCAATAGCTTTTTTTTCATTTAGGACAGAAAAAAGTCGCTTTATGTGCCTCAGTTTTATTGATTTTGTTTTCACTGAATGTTACGTTCATGAATGTAATTTTTGAGCTTTGATATTGTAAAAGTTGGCGTTCCATATTCGTTGGAGAATCTCGTTCATATTATCATATCATTTAAACTACTTTCAAGTGGTTATAAACATGTCTGAAGTACCTATTGAGCTATCTCCCCCCACGCGAGAATGGGGGGGGGTGAGATTGCTCAATTGATCCATTGTTTCGATGAACCTTCATCAAGTGGGTCTAGGACAACAAGCCGACGGGACTTCAAGCCGAAGGGATTTCAGGCCGAAATTAAACTTTACAAGCACCTCAAATCAATATTTTTTTAATCTATAAAACGTTGCTTTTCAAAATCTTACGCTAGTTTAGTCCATAATAAGCGTTATTTATGACAATGAATCACTTAGGATTGACATCCGTTAATAATATCAGCCGGTTTTTGAAATGCCCAAATTATAAACAAGAAATTTGCCTTCAACCGTGTTTTATTTTTCAACTTTCCTAAACATCATTTGGAGGTTTAAATTTTATGAAACCGCTAATTAAAACCGACTAAAGATCATGAAAATGAGAAAATCTTCAGAAAAGTGTTCAAATTAATCTTATTTCATGACTTAATGAGAAAGTTTTCGGCTTGAAGTCCCTTATTATACGATTCGGCTTCAAGTCCCGTCGGCTTGATGTCCGGCACCCTTATTTTCATGTGTCACGTTGGGACGTGAATTATCTTGTTCCGACACTTGAAACTTTATTTACCTAAAGCGCTCACTACACATACATTCAAATGTTTGTTCAAGGTTTCGGTCCTTTTCTTTTAATTGCGAGCACTTCTTAAATAAACAAGGTTTCTCTTTTGTTTTAGATCGATCATCAAAACAGTCATCAGCGAAATACGATCCATGTCTCCAACAGCGAAAATAACTCGACCACGCATAGCATGCAAAACGAACAAAAAACGCATGCTGATGTCATTTCCAATTTCTGTAATTTTCCTGAGCTCTCTTTGTCGAACCAAGTTAATTTCCCAATTAATTCTAAAAATTCAAATTTAATGTCACTTCCATTGAACCAGGAAAAATTTGGCACTCCAATTTCGGTCAACAATGAACAAAATATGATCACATCTGTGTCACCACAAGCTAATTTTCAACTGATCTCCACGAACATGAGGCCAAATGCACTTGATTTGAATTTCGCACAAACTCTTAAAGACATGAGTGGACAAACTCCAATTTTCACGCAAGATTCTAACCAGAATATTTCTATCCAAGGTAGATCATCTCATAAACTCGATCCCGAAATTTTTTCACCGTTTTCAAACGGCTATTCAGGGTTCGATGTGCACCCGTCGCTGTCGCCCGACATGATAACGGATTTCGAAACTAGCCGAAACAGTATTCCAACCTCAATCGGTTATAATGTTGCTCCAAATCACCAAATTTTTCCAAGCAACTCATCTAAAATAAACCGGACCGAAGACACATGTGATGTAATTACAAGTTTGTCCAATTTTGCTCTCGATCCATCTGAGCAAATGATGGAGTGGGCGTTGCTATGCAACGGCGGTCGCCCCCGAGAAGGCTCTCTAGCTGAAGACATTTCACAAATAAGCCCCTCGATTCAGGAACTATTTTATGACAACCCCCTCACTATGGTACAACATGGGCATCAGAGTTCCTCGATGATTTCGGGTCATCAGAACATGTCTTCAGCTGCTCAGGTAATCTTGAATTGGTTGTTAGTTTTTTAGTGAAGCGCACTGTATCCTTGCATGAAAATTTACAGGGCTGTATTGAACTTTTCTGGTATGAAAATGCATTCATGTAAATTTGTAGCTAGAATTTTTAAAAGTTTTAAACTTTCTTACCATTCAATTTAAATTCCTGGTCAATTAACTCCTTTACATTTGAAATCCTAGATAATTTGATTTCTGCTGTATTTATCAGCTTTGAAAGAAAAGCTGCTCTGTTTCCTCGACTTACTGTTTCGGTTTTAGTACCGAACATTATCCTTTAAAAAGCGATACTTTTAAAAGTTTGGTTTATGCAAGTTTTATGTTGAGATATAACCAGACGAAGTATAAACCAGCTGAAGAATCAACAAGTCGGAAATACGTAAGTTTTATATAATAGGAGACTCTTTTTACAAGGTCGATAATAATCCTCAATAGCTTGGTGAGAGCGCTTATAAGGTTTTCTGGGGCTTTGTAGTTTACTTCGTTAAATCCGTCTCCAGGGCAATCATCGGCTCGACGAATCTCACGAACCGTGATTTGCTTTTTTGTCAAGTTACAAAGGACCTGAATTGTGGTAGCTCAAGGTACCTCCAGTAATTTTGATCTCAACCAGTCTGGCATTCCTTTTGAACAATCGCTTGATTTGTTCATTCCGATTGTCATTTACTGCTTCTAATCTTTCTTGCCTTTGAGCTGTTTCAGTGTGAAAGAGAGCTGCTTGTGCCGCCGCATCCGCTGCGGCACCGTCAATCGGGGCTACGGCTGGCAAATCTGGTGTCAGGTACGCTCGATACGCTACGCACGCTTTTTTGTTAGGCTCATCAGGAAAGTTTCAGGCTTATCTCCTGAGTTTAAGTGGAGTTCCTTTAACTACAGGACGTGTACTTCATGAAGCTGGGGATTGCAAAAGTGATCTTTTAGGGCTGCGAGATTGTTCGTGACGTTTCCTCTGATGGCTGCAGGCAAAGTTTGATAGAATCTTAGCACATCGTCTCGTAGATGAAATTGCAATAGGTTCACTTGTTGTGATCCTGGTATCCGTGTGCTAAATTTTTGGCTACTTTACTTTTGGTATTGGGGTACTTTTTTAATCAACATCTTTAGGTCACAACATATAAGCGCTTTAGGTCACAATAACAACAATAAAGAGGCGGACGAAGACATAAGCTAATTTTCAACTGATCTCCACGAACATGAGGCCAAATGCACTTGATTTGAATTTCGCACAAACTCTTAAAGACATGAGTGGACAAACTCCAATTTTCACGCAAGATTCTAACCAGATTATTTCTATCCAAGGTAGATCATCTCATAAACTCGATCCCGAAATTTTTTCACCGTTTTCAAACGGCTATTCAGGGTTCGATGTGCACCCGTCGCTGTCGCCCGACATGATAACGGATTTCGAAACTAGCCGAAACAGTATTCCAACCTCAATCGGTTATAATGTTGCTCCAAATCACCAAATTTTTCCAAGCAACTCATCTAAAATAAACCGGACCGAAGACACTTGTGATGTAATTACAAGTTTGTCCAATTTTGCTCTCGATCCATCTGAGCAAATGATGGAGTGGGCGTTGCTATGCAACGGCGGTCGCCCCCGAGAAGGCTCTCTAGCTGAAGACATTTCACAAATAAGCCCCTCGATTCAGGAACTATTTTATGACAACGCCCTCACTATGGTACAACATGGGCATCAGAGTTCCTCGATGATTTCGGGTCATCAGAACATGTCTTCAACTGCTCAGGTAATCTTGAATTGGTTGTTAGTTTTTTAGTGAAGCGCACTGTATCCTTGCATGAAAATTTACAGGGCTGTATTGAAATTTTCTGGTATGAAAATGCATTCATGTAAATTTGTAGCTAGAATTTTTAAAAGTTTCAAACTTTCTTACCATTCAATTTAAATTCCTGGTCAATTAACTCCTTTACATTTGAAATCCTAGATAATTTGATTTCTGCTGTATTTATCAGCTTTGAAAGAAAAGCTGCTCTGTTTCCTCGACTTACTGTTTCGGTTTTAGTACCGAACATTATCCTTTAAAAAGCGATACTTTTAAAAGTTTGGTTTATGCAAGTTTTATGGTGAGATATAACCAGACGAAGTATAAACCAGCTGAAGAATCAACAAGTCGGAAATACGTAAGTTTTATATAATAGGAGACTCTTTTTACAAGGTCGATAATAATCCTCAATAGCTTGGTGAGAGCGCTTATAAGGTTTTCTGGGGCTTTGTAGTTTACTTCGTTAAATCCGTCTCCAGGGCAATCATCGGCTTGACGAATCTCACGAACCGTGATTTGCTTTTTTGTCAAGTTACAAAGGACCTGAATTGTGGTAGCTCAAGGTACCTCCAGTAATTTTGATCTCAACCAGTCTGGCATTCCTTTTGAACAATCGCTTGATTTGTTCATTCCGATTGTCATTTACTGCTTCTAATCTTTCTTGCCTTTGAGCTGTTTCAGTGTGAAAGAGAGCTGCTTGTGCCGCCGCATCCGCTGCGGCACCGTCAATCGGGGCTACGGCTGGCAAATCTGGTGTCAGGTAGGCTCGATACGCTACGCACGCTTTTTTGTTAGGCTCATCAGGAAAGTTTCAGGCGTATCTCCTGAGTTTAAGTGGAGTTCCTTTAACTACAGGACGTGTACTTCATGAAACTGGGGATTGCAAAAGTGATCTTTTAGGGCTGCGAGATTGTTCGTGACGTTTCCTCTGATGGCTGCAGGCAAAGTTTGATAGAATCTTAGCACATCGTCTCGTAGATGAAATTGCAATAGGTTCACTTGTTGTGATCCTGGTATCCGATGTATTCTTGGCACAATCGCTCAATGCGCGTTTGTCGTCTTGTAACAATTGAATGATTGTCATTTTCATAATAGAATTATTGATAACAGATTCAGCACTCAAGCAATTTTGGGTTGAGACAAAAAATTGCTAGTTTCAGTAAATTTCTACCAGGTAGTGGTTTTCGTGTGCTAAATTTTTGGCTACTTTACTTTTGGTATTGGGGTACTTTTTTAATCAACATCTTTAGGTTACAACATATAAGCGCTTTAGGTCACAATAACAACAATAAAGAGGCGGACGAAGACATAAGGCGGACGAAAAGAGCCGGACGGAAAAATAAAGAAGCGGACGAGTTTTTGATTTTTTTTTGGGATAGCATTATGAAACTTAGTTCAAGTAAAAAACTCTGATGATTACAGCTGACTTAAGACAAAAAGCGGTTAAGTATGAATTAACCAGAAGTCATTAGAAAAACTGAAGCAAAAAAGTTTTGAAGTCAAGGGCTTTAGGTAAATTAAAAAACTCAAGATACTGATTCTTTCAATTCGCAACAGACAGTTTTAAACCTGTTTTAGCCGATCGTTCAACCAATAACAACATTTGTTTGACACATTTTTTTTTTACTTTTTACAAGCTCGATAATAATCCTCAACAGCTTGGTGAGAGCGCTTATAAGGTTTTCTGGGGCTTTTTAGTTTACTTCGTTAAATCCGTCTCCAGGGCAATCATCGGCTCGACGAATCTCACGAACCGTGATTTGCTTCTTTGTCAAGTTACAAAGGACCTGAATTGTGGTAGCTCAAGGTACCTCCAGTAATTTTGATCTCAACCAGTCTGGCATTCCTTTTGAACAATCGCTTGATTTGTTCATTCCGATTGTCATTTACTGGTGTTTTGATTGTCACCATGTCATATACAATTTTTCCTGTCTATTATTTTATCTTTCTGCAGGTTGTTCTCGAGCTGTTATGTTTTTTACGCGTCTGGAGCGGTTAGGCATATCTTGCACCAGGGATGTTTGAGTCAGACCTATTCGTCTAGATTCTATCTCATCGATTGGAGCAAGTCATAGCACGATAGGAATAGTTTGTTTTCTTCGTATACAGAGCAGTTGAATCTCTGTTGTGATTACAGCTTGGTTGAATCTGGCTCTTGCGTTGGTAGAATTAGTTATCAATTTTAATTAGTTAAGTATTTGTTAGTTTGAGCTCCAATTTAATTATTGTTAGGGTGGATTTCATAATCATTTATATGAAAATGCTGATATCAAAAGCCTGGCATGAATTTAACAGTGTTTTGAGTTCTAACAACTTCGTTCAATGTTTTTACACATGCAAAGCTGAGCGTCGCACCACGTACGATACAAAAAGCATAGGTTGAAAACAGCATGGCGCTGAAAAAAAGCACAGAAGACTTTGAGCGAAAAAAATAAAAACAGAAACTAGGAACTTTTTCGCCAGAGTTTTATCAATCTTCAAAATACAACCGAAAATTTGTAGTAGATAAAATATTAGGTAGAAACGCCGACAAACAAAATTTAAGCTGACAGCCAATAAGCAGAAAATCAACCAAAATGTTTTTCTTGTTTTTCTCAACCAAAAACAAGCAAGTCAGAGCATGATAGGAATAGTTTGTTCTCTTCGTATACAGAGCAGTTGAATCTCTGTTGTGATTACAGCTTGGTTGAATCTGGCTCTTGCGTTGGTAGAATTAGTAATCAATTTTAATTAGTTAAGTATTTGTTAGTTTGAGCTCCAATTTAATTAATGTTAGGGTGGATTCCATAATCATTTATATGAAAATGCTGATATCAAAAGCCTGGCATGAAGTTAACAGTGTTTTGAATTCTAACTACTTCGTTCAATGTTTTACACATGCAAAGCTGAGCGTCGCACCACGTACGATACAAAAAGCATAGGTTGAAAACAGCATGGCGCTGAAAAAAAGCACAGAAGACTTTGAGCGAAAAAAATAAAAAAAGAAACTAGGAACTTTTTCGCCAGAGTTTTATCAATCTTCAAAATACAACCAAAAATTTGTAGTAGATAAAATATTAGGTAGAAACGCCGACAAACAAAATTTAAGCTGACAGCCAATAAGCAGAAAATCAACCAAAATGTTTTTTTTTTGTTTTTCTCAACCAAAAACAAGCAAGTCAGAGCATGATAGGAATAGTTTGTTCTCTTCGTATACAGAGC